ATCTACTTGAGCTTACGCTACAAGTACCATTGTATCAGTTCGTGGACCTCCCCACTAGGTACATGGACGCCCAACTCCCGTCTATTTTGGATCTAGTGTTTGCCAAGTCACTAGACTTCGTAGGGGACATCACTTACGGCTCTCCCTTAGGTGCTAGTGATCATGTTTGTTTATCGTTCAGGTGTAGTCTGACCAGGCGTCACCAGAGCATTGCTAAGCCATTTCCAAACATATGGCGTGCTAACTATCAGGCAATGCGTACCAAGGCTGCTGGGATGCGTTGCGAAATCTCGGTGATTGATACGGTTCAGGCGGCCTGGGATAAATTTAAATCTTATCTCACGGAAGTGTCTACTCCCTACATCCCGCTTGCGAAGAGAAAGGAGACACGGGCGCGGCCGCCGTGGATAGATACCACTGGCAAGCACCTGCTCCAGAAGCGTTCTAGGTGCTGGAGGACCTACCGTGCGGCTCCATCAACTAGCACCTATGCTAGGTACCGCGAGGCTAGAAATAGGTGTAAACAACACTTAAGGAAAGCTCGGCTGGTGTACGAAAAGGAATTGGCTGACGGAGCTTCGGAAAATCCGAAGAAATTCTTCGCTTATGTTACGAGACGCTGTGGTTCAACTTCGGTAATCCCAACTTTGATGAGGGCCGATGGAACTCGTGCGTATGCGGACTCAGATAAGGCTCGTGTACTTGGGGAACAGTATGCAGGGGCTTTTGTACGTGAGGCCGCGTTGACTAGCGTTGAATTTGTCCCCAGAGTACCTGATGGTTCTTATTTAGCTGAGTTTACTGTGGTGGAAACGCAAGTCCTTAAACTGCTGCAAGAACTGAACCCTTCCAAAGCAGCTGGACCTGATTCAATTCACCCGAAGCTTCTGCATGAGTTGGCGGGGGAACTAAGTGGACCGCTGACGATGGTGTTTCAGAAATCACTTGACACCTGTACATTACCTTCCGAATGGAAGGAGGCTGTCATCTGTCCTATCTTCAAAAATGGCGACAGGAGTCTGTCAGCCAATTATAGGCCAGTTAGTCTGACTAGCGTCGTGGTCAAACTGCTTGAAAAGCTGGTGAGAGATTCGTTGGAATGTCACCTGAATAGATTTAATCTGCTCAGTAGTGCACAACATGGATTCCGGAAGGGATTTTCGTGTTTGACGGATTTGTTGGTTGCTCGTGAAGTTTGGGCCGAGGCAGTGGACAATGGCCACGTGGTGGATGTGCTTTTCGTAGACTTCTCGAAAGCATTTGATAAGGTACCCCACTTGAGGCTATCACATAAGCTGATGTCCTACGGCGTATCTGGCCGCGCCCTTCACTGGGTATCTGCGTTTTTGCAGGGAAGAGAGCAGTGTGTACGTGTGGGTCGCAGCTTATCCTTTAAGCAAGCGGTCCTTAGCGGTGTCCCACAGGGCTCGGTCCTTGGACCGATGCTGTTCTCCATCTACGTAAACGATCTCCCTGGAGAGCTTGGGGTATCATCCTTATTGTTTGCTGATGACCTTAAGCTATGGAATGTTGTAAATGTTCCTGGGGGTTCTGAGGCCATACAGCGTGCACTGGACAGACTCTGGGACTGGTCTACTTTGTGGCTACTGCCCATAAATCAGGCTAAGTGTTCCGTCCTTCGTATAGGAGCAACTTTCCCGCCTTCGAGCTACGTACTCGGTGGGGTCGAACTCCCCCTTGTCTCCAACCAGATAGATCTAGGTGTCGTTCATTCCTCGTCTTTGCATTCTGGTGACAACTGGAAGAAGGCCGCTAGTAGGGGTTTCAGAATGTTATGGTTAATACGCCGTTCTTTCGGGGTCTTAACTGCCGACATATTTGTGAAGCTATTCTCAGCTTTCGTTCGGCCCCATCTGGAATACTGCGTCCAGGCTTGCGCGCCCTGCCTTGTTCGGGACAAAATGGAGCTTGAGAGGGTTTTGAGAGTAGGTACCAAATTGGTCGAGGGGTTACGGGGGCAATCGTACCCCGAGCGTCTACTTAGCTTGGGTATGTATTCAATGCACTACCGACGGCTTCGAGGAGACCTAATCCTTACTTACCGCATTTTAACAGGGAAGGTTGGGCCGGACTTGCGCTGGCTATTTAGCCCGGCTAGGTTGCCTTGTCTTCGCGGTCATCCCATGAAGCTACACAAGCCGCGTTCTGACGGGATCAGGGCGGAAACTCGGTTATCGCGTAGAGTTATCGAGCGCTGGAACTCGCTTCCAGAAAATGTAGTCAGTGAACCTACGGTTAAGGGTTTCGAGCGTCAGTTAGACGCTCTTGGGTAGCAACACGAAACCTTTCCCTTCTCCTGACCATATCCATCTTCAAACTTTCAGTTCTTATTCTGTCATTATCTTCACTCTTTGGTGTTATCCTTCATTTTAATGACTTTCATTCCCCTTTATCTTCCATTTACTTTCTACTTCTTTCTTACTTCACGTAACCTACACAGCGCGGACTGCTAGTGCAGGGAACGTGGGCAGTAGTTGGTTGATCAGGGTGTGTTTCGGGTGTTTCGTTTTAGATCTATCAAGAACTAACACCTTATCATTTCCTGACTCAACGATTTGCTCAAGAAGGAACACTCAAGGGATTTTCCTATCGTTCCAGTCCATCTGAATCTGAATCGTTTTTCCCCGGATTACGTCGTACTCGTTTTCGGGTACTTACCAACGTCGTCCATCTTTTTCGGGTTCAGCCTCTGGCTATTTTCCCGGTATTTTTGTGTTTTGTAATCCGTTTTGCACCTTGTTTAACCCATAACTGTTTCTGTTGACTTCCCTGCAGGTAACAGCTTGTCGGTTTTACGTTTTAATACTTGTTTCACACTCTTTGAAAGCGTCATGTCGGATTCACTGAATACCAACGCTAATGTATCTTCGGCTGCATTGATCAGCGAATCTAATGCTGTATGTGGCAGCGGGAGCTGCTCAAAGCCCGTGACGGACGAGTCTGGTGGCATGCAGTGCTATGTATGCAACTGCTTGTACCATGAGACCTGCACCGATTTGAGCCCTGATCAGTACGCAATGCTTTCGACTAGCGATAGCATGCTGTTCAATTGTCTTCTATGCCGTCGCCGTCGATCTACGCCTCTTGAGGTCACTGAGGAGACATCGAGCAACATCGGGCTGGGTAACCAGCAGTTGTGGTCTTTCCTCATATCTCTTGATCGGAAAGTGGAGTTACTGATGAGAAATATGAGAGTCTCTATTGATGTCGGCTCATTGAAGGAAGACACGCAACTAACCTCAATTGCTCTCAATGGAAATCGACTGAGGTGATGTCTACCGTGTCGTGTGTCCCAGCGGTCCAGAATGCCTCTAAAGGGGCCTCTGATGTCGTACTGGAAGCCGTCCAAAGCGTGACCGAACTTATTGCCCCTGGGCCCAATAAAAGCAGGAGGAAGAGGGCTAAGAAAGTCCCTAAGGCTGCCTCAAAGCCTGAAGGTATTGAAAGCATTAAGGTATTGGAGGTGAAACACAAAACTCCAACTCTAATCACCCCAGTTCCATTGGCGAAGCAACGCGCGGTGTCGACTTCGGCCACCCGCAAAGTCTGAAAAGACTAGACCGATGAGGGAGTTGGAGGCAGAGGATAAAGCCTCAACCTCAATTACTCCAGCTCACTTGACGAAGAAACGCGCCGTGTCATCTGCCAAACCGGTCGAAACTGAGGTCGCGTCGAAGACGCGTGGAGTGAATACGCCTCGTCGAGGTGATTCTTTTACTGATAGTAGCGTTATCCTTCGTAACGTTGCTGAATCCGCGGCAGCTCTTCCAAAGGAGCGCATGCTGGATGACCTCCAGTGGTTCAAGCTCTGCGTCAACAAGATGCTTCCACCTGGTTTCCCCGGTGTCACTATCAGGAAATTAACCAGATTGGGGAACGTCCCTGTTGACACGCCAAATCCGCGACCCCGACTACTTCGTGTAGTCCTCTCAACCCCGGAGGAACGCAAAGCGTTAATGCGCTTTGCATTCTTACTAGGCGGTTGAGCGTCCAGCCGTCTACGAGGTATTTATTTTGTTTTGCTGCTCTAGACGTCTATTACGGCCCGTCATACTATTTGGACACGGAAGATCTTGGAATGCCGGACCGGAGGAATATTACAGTAAATCATTTATGTAGGTGTACTTTTCGTCAATGTACGCTTGCTTCAGATGCTCGCCCAGACCTGATAGCTTTCACTGAAACTTGGCTGTTTACGGACATCATAGAATTCAGAGGTTCCTGAATTCACTTGTTTGCGGAGCTCCGTAGTTAGCTGCAAACGTTTCATCACCAAACGAGAACGTTTGTATCCTAATTACGAAGCTCGGCGAACAAGTGAATTCAGGAACGATCAACCCGAGCTACCAGTGCATCAAGTCGTTTTGAGATTCAGAGATTTCTATCCCCGGATACAGTCTCTGTCGACCCGACCGCCTTGGATGTAGGCCCAGTGGCAACGTTATGCTTTACTGGAAAGCCGAGCTAAAAGCCCATTTGGTTGCAGCTACTAGTGACGACGATGGTGATTTCGATGCCCTTTGGTGCCGTATTCATGATGGATGCAAGCGTCCCTCTCGTGAGCGGTATCTAGTCATCGTAAATGCTTCCGAGTCTAATAGGGAGACACCAGCAGAAAGAATACAGGACGATTAAGCATTCCTAAAGTACATAGTCTCTTCTGTTCGATAGTAGGGAAAAAGGGATTAACTTTGTCTCTGCATTTCA